GTTGCTTACAAAAAACTGATCCAAGTGATTTTTGACATTGTCATTTCAAGTAAATGTCTTACAGTTAAAAAAAATTTGTATAGACCGGAACAAGTAATAATCTGAGTGTGCTTGATCTGGCGAATATGGTTGGTGTGATAGTACGTCCCATCTAAGTTATAACAGTTTCTGACGAGTTACTAACTTGTGTGAAATTTGACATTATTGTAGTAAAACACTACACCTGTTTTGTTGATCAATTCTGGCTGCCTTTTCTGTTTGATGATATTACTCAATATGTTTACTCAATGGCAGTACACTTTCAAATCAGTTGTTAAATTGTCTGGTAAAAGCTCAAAAAAAAATTTCCTTAAAATACCACCAAAGAGAGCATCTCTCTTTAAGAACACATGGAACCCATATATCAAGCTTTGAAATGAAACCAATTTGTTTCAAGTAATCATAAACGGTTTTGACAAATTTCATCTCTTAGTGATTTCATGTGTTGTTATTTGGCAGTTTGCTCCAATCAGTACCTTTATTTTGTTTTCATTGGCTTCAACTGGCCTTCCAGAATGTTGTACATCTTCAATATTGAAATTGCAAGAAGGAAATTTTGTAAACCAGTTTTGGCACTGTCGTTCTGTCAATACATCTTCTCTGTACACATCACACAATTTTTTTCTCGCTTGAAAATCATTCTTACATTTTTGTTAATAAAAGAGCAAAATATGCTGAAAATGCTGCTTTCAATCTTCCATATTTGATGAGACACAAAAAATAAACAATTGCACAAAATCAAACAAAATTTTTTACAAATAAGCCTTAAAATGCTAGCTGTCAAAGTATATAATGTTAATATGGTTTAAAATGAAAATGGCAGGAAAAATATGACTAATCCGTCTAGTGGTAAAAAAAACGAAATTACTTTCCAAACAACCCAATAGTAAGAATTCAAATTCAAAATCAACCAACCATATTATTTTTATCCACTTTTTTTTACAGTGAACAAAAAATTTACCTTGTAATTTCAATAGATCAGATCGTTTTTCATCTATATCAGGCCTTTCTGCTTTCAAAACCTTAAATGCAATTTGAATTAGTAAATATCAAAATTTAATAAAAATTCTTACTATCTTAATTTGAATACCTGATTTAAACATTGACTCTGTAAACTGCTTCTTGTTACAGTAAAATTAACAAAAGTTACTCTAGAGCATATGTCTGGTGGAAATTCTACCTAAAAAACACAAAAATATACAAATGTTTTTACCAACTCAGTGAAATAAATTATATCTGTATTATTAATTAATTTTAATAAAATTAACTATATGATAAAAATAGTATATTGCTAAATTAGAACTTTTACATAAAAACAAGTCAAACTACATTTTATATAACTGAAACAAAACTTTAAATAAGAAGTAAAAGTAAATTATATTTCTGATGATAAAATCAGAAATATAATTTTATTTTTACTTATTCTGTAGTTGTAAATTTTATGATTTAATTTTAAATATTAACTGTGGTTTCAGTAGAAACAGAAAATAAAATATTAGACACAATCATTCTACAAAGAAATTATTAAAATGCTCAATTTTTATCTATAGTCTGCATAATATTTAATAATTTTGACTATATTGTAATAAAAAAATTTTTTATCATATTTTCTCTTGATAAAGTAGATCAAACTTCAGCAAAAACCCATAGTTTTTTTTTAAATGTATATATTTTTATTACATAACTTACATGACTATGAAGATATGTAAACTTGTAAAGTTAAGAAAGCTACAAGTTTTGAAAAATATCTGGAATTTTACATTTATTTAAATTGAAACAACAATTCAAGAATGATACATCTATAAAAGCAATCATATATTTTATTAAAATATCACAGTTTAACTTTTCATAAAGCCAGTCTCAGTTAAATAAATTATATTATAAATCAATAAAAAATATTCAGAATTCTAGAAACCTAAGTTTTATACTTCCTTTGTTAAATTCTTTTAAAACTTATTGAATGCAATACAACTGTATATATAATTTAAAAAAATTCAATTTACAATTGAAAAAGTTAAAATGGATTATTTTAATGACATGCTAGATTAATAATGCATATTATAAGTCATTTTAATTTTCTTTAAGTCATATAAAACAACAAAATTTTGATTTTATTAAATATTTAAAAATAATTCATTTATAGTTTGATTTACTAATATAAACAAAAACTTATTTTATTTACTATCAAATTAAAATACAGACACTACATAAATCTTAAAAATGCTGTTAAAATAATTTTTCTTACTGTTGGATCTCTTGTGGACAAAAATATACAGAATGAAGGAGAAAGATCAATATCCTGATCTCCAAGAGTAATTAATACTCGACCACCTGTTTTACGAACTTCTCGATTCAACACTGGATTTAAAATTGGATCGTAACTTTCAACATCCTGTTATTAAAAAATCTGTTAGCAAACAAAAACTTTTAATTAAATAATTCTAATCTCAAGCACAAACCTGTACAAGTAATGGGTTGCCAAATCTAAGAGCACTTTCAAGATTTTTTCGAAAAGAATCATCAAGAAAACTGAAAATTAAATTAAAAATTTTAAATTCTCATCCTTAATTATATTATGAAATTAATAAATATAAATTTTCACCTGGTTTTTGTTATCTTGCGTTCTTTATGCTCATTCATGATATATTCAGTAGCTTGTCCTGACGGGTCAATTATCAATGGATATCTATTAAAACGCTTCAACATTATGGCATTTTCAGTACACAAATCATCAGAGGGAAGAGCATTAGCTTGCCATCTCAAACGTTCATCCGCAGTAGATAAATACTGAAAGGATATATCATTAATTCATAAATTCAATTTTATAAAAATAAATCTGAAAAGAATTAAAATTTATTGCAGTTTTAGTATTAGAATAAGTTGAAATAAATCTAAAGCATTCAATTAACATAAAAATTACATTACTTAAAATTAAATGTAAATTTCAATACAGATTTTTAAGAAATGAATTTAGCCTGAATATTTTTTAATATAGTCAACTTATTAACTTACCTCAGTTCTTGCTAAATCACTTCTAAACAGAATATTTGCTTGTTGCAAATGGGTACACCAATTATTAAACAAATTTTGTCTATATTGCTGATCATAATAACCTATAATGAAATTTAAATAATGAAATATTTTTAAAAACAATTTGTTATCTATTATATTACTTTTTGAAGAATAACTTAAAAATATTACTTTTTAAATTTATGTTTATCAATAAAAATATAATTATCATTTTAAGTATAAAACTGTCTTTTAAAAATAAAATCATAGAAAATAACCAAATTTTTATATATCATATTAAAAAACCATCCCAAATAATGTAAAGGAGCATTCATAAATGATTTATTCCATATATTCTCTATTAAAATACAATGTGTTGTTACATACATTTGAAATCTTTATGAAAGAATTACTCGGATAAATTGCATATGATAAGTGATTAAATTCTATTAAATAAGTGATTAAATAAAGTCTATTAAATTTTTTGTAGTTAATATAAATTCTTATTATTTTTTCATTTATATACATATGTTCTTAGTATTTTATTAAAAGAGATTGCTTATATTGCCACTTTCCACTCTAATAGCATCTTAGATTATCTCATCTTAGGTTGTGCTGATCCTTTGTAATAAACAAACAGTTTACATTTCCTTAACTTATTTACTCCTTTACTATTTATTTTTTCCTCTATGTATGTATATTATAAATTTTATTGAATTTTACTCTGTTTAAATTGTACTATATTTGAGTATAGGCTCATCCAGCTAGATTAAAGTTAGTAGTGTAGTTATAGTTATAATATAGTAGTTATAGTTAGTAATTTTTTTGTCTACATGTTTTTGCTAAATCTGATGATTCTGTTAATGTAATGTAATATAATACTTATGTTTGCTTTATAAATTACACAAAAAAATGTTTATCATGTATTAACTAAACAACATAAAAATGTTCAAGTATAAAACTTATTTAGAATGAATAAAATTTTCATAAAATATTAAATAGAAAACAATCATATAAAATATACTTAAAATAACTATTTAATGTATTGATTGTATATAAAAGTAAAATTAGATATTTAAACAAATACTAAAAAAATTTAAATATTTAATAAAGAAAATGCTATATAATTTCATTTTTAAATATTTAGCAAATTCATTATTATTTTAAATTACAATTATTAAGTTTAAACTTCAATTCTAAAACCAACCAGCATATGCTAAAAATGCTGATGCTAAGAGTACATCTCCAGCAATTGTTGCCATTTGATTTTTAAATGTTTCACTGGTAGCTTCCCATCTTTGACGCTCAGAACTCAAACTTTTCAGTAAAGCAATACTTCGATCAACCTAATATAAAAATGATTAAAATTTCTTAAATATAATCCTTACATTTTATACATTAGATAGCCAGAAATATTAATTTAATGAATATAAGATCAGTTTTAACATTTTATGTATTATTTGATATATCACTGTACCTTTGCTTGAACAGCAGCAAGATCAGATTTAATAGCTTGTGCTTGACTAACAAGATTTGCATATTCTTCTTTATATGCAGCAATACTTTTCTCTAATTGATTAATAATGGCATCAATTTCTTCTGCCTTTTGTTTATTTTCATCTGCTTCAGATTCTAAACTCTTAAGTTCATTTCTTAATGGTTCCACTTGTTTTAACATATCGGCATAATTTATCTATAGTAAAATTATAGTATTAATATATAAAATATTTATATTATATAATTAAATGTGAAATTATGTATATTAACTGTGAAATAAAATTAGATTTATTGTAAATACATATGTAAAGTGACACTTTGGTTATAAGAGAAAAAGTTTAAGATGTTATATATTTCATTATCTTAGATTCTGTTATAATCTTAGATTTTAGAAGTTATAAAACAAGTATTCCTAGCAGAATTGATCTTTTTGGGATGATCAACATACAAGATAAGAAAAATAAGAATAAAAAATAATTTATAAAATCACTAGTTTACTTAATATTAATGCTAATGATTAAAGAAGATGTGTAACAGTGTTATGATTTTTAAGAAATAAAAACAGCAACAATAACTCCTGCAAAATTAGCACAATTTGTAACACCTTTTCAAAAATATTTTACTCCATTAGACCTGATGGATCTGACAGATGATGGATACTTAGAACATGTGAATGCAATATGCTTTGTTGGCTTATTTGGACAAACTGGCATCTAATGACTAAAAATCCAACATGGGCAAGAGAAATGTTCCAAAAGCCTGTCTCCAAAGTGTCAATGCACAGATACATTCACTAACTGCACTTTGTCTCATCAAAACTACAGTTTCTATGAGGCAATGTGCAAGCTCTATCTCAATGTGTCTGTGAAGAGAATGTGTTCAGCAAGGACTTGCTCACATTTGTATGAATTCATACATTGTTGGAAGCAAGTATTATGGTTTGATGAGTGACTTTTCATCATTAAGTATGGTAAAATTGTCAAGAATGAAACAATTTACCACCACCTGATACGCAAGGTGCAAAAGTCAGTTATTTAACTTATCCCATGTTGAAATTTTTCTCTGTTGCCTGCGGCTGCCATGTTGAATTTTTGTCAATGTTAAGCCTAACAATTTTTTTAAAAATAATAATCATGGCTACTATATTGTTAAAAATTATTTTTTTAATTTGCACAAACAAAATAAATATATTTTATTTATTTATTTATTTAGTACAAGGGAAACAAAATAAATATATTGAAAAATATCAAACAAAAAAAATTTATATTTTAAAAGTTCATTTTAATATAAAAATTATGACACAGTGACATCTAGTATCAAAAATGTTCCAATGCAGAAATGAATAAGTTCGGGGTTGACAGGTCAGGTCAAATGAGGTCAACACAAAAATATTCCAGGTTAATGGTTTGAGGCTACTTCAGTGCCAATGGTATTGGCACCCTGGACTTCTGCAATGGTACAATTTTAGCCCAATAATATATCCATATCTTAAAACAACATATGTGTTTGCAATGGAAATTATTCAGTCAACATATTTCAGTATGATAAAGGAATATTTATTTGACTATAATTATAAAAGCCTGGCTGGCTGACAAACACATCCACATACTCCTACAGCCTGGAAATACTTATTGCCTTCAAGAACATGTGGCATTAATTGAAATGGAAAATGGACCAATAACAAACACAAACACTTTGGCAGTTAATAATGTATTGTGCTGAAGAATGGGCTAAAATTCTGGTCACAAAATTGAGCAATTTGGGAACCTCAAATGTCTTGCATTTATTATGCTGGCCAGTTGTCAAAAGAGATGTTACATATTGCTAAATACCATCATCATTATTAACTTAAATGACTTTTTAGGACCTTTGTTGGATATGAATTTTTGGTCTAGTCTAGTATTTTTTGTTTTATTAATTTTTGTTCCATATCATTTCCTACTGGTTCTGTCATTAGTAACATTTTATAAAAAGCTTTAGTCTTCAAAATCCATCTGTACTTATATTTTTTGTTTCTTACACATTTGAACAAGCTTCACTATTTTAACTCTTTTGCAATCATTTGTCGATATATCACCAAGTAGTTAATTAATGAAACAAATCACTTGGCGATTTATCGTCAATCTGAGAATTTACGATTCTTATAAAACATTCCATTCATAGATGGCACTACACTACTGTAGGTTATTCTGTACATTTGTTTCACATATTTAATACCAAATGGAATTTTATTTCTATTTTATTTTATTTTAAGTATTTATAATTTTTTTGAAGCAAGAAATTTCTTTGTGTAAAAACTGTTCGAGTTTGTTTTAACCAAAATGTACAGAACAAATGGCCATTCATGCAGGGCTACTCATGGAAATGAAATATATAATCGAAAAATTTTATCTATGATTGAGTTGCGTAAATTATAAATAATATTCAGTCTGTCATTTTTAACATATTTTTTTGGGAGAAATTTTTTATGCTAGCAAAAATAAATTTTACTACCATAAACAACAAAAAGTAATGTATATACATGAATTTTTTCATATGTCTATGATAACTGCTGGATTTTTGGCAAATTTTTGAATGTAAGTTGAATGAGCTTGAATGAGTAAAGTTTGTTAGCAAGTATTTTCGAACAATGAACAATGTAGTTTAATAACTTTTGTGACACAGTTCAGGTTTATCTTCAATTATCTGTCTGTCTAATTTTTTAAAAATAAATGTAGGGAGAGAATAGGCAATCACATTTTGTGCAATGCATTAGACACACAACATTCAAGAGTGTGCTAGTTTCATGATTGCTGATCAATAATAATTCAAAATTATAATATTTACTATCTATTTTGTTACTAAAATACCTGAACTGATTGTTATAAACATAAATTAAATGATTTTTGTATGCACATTAAGAAAACTTTTTAATAATCCATCTATGAAATCAATGCATTGTGTATTCACATACTTTTATAATGATCTGGGTTGATAGTAAAAATTAAGATGTTTGTTCTACAAATTTCAGTTAATATTCATAACAAGACAAGTTAAAAAAATTGTATTAATAGCTTTTTCTGACATTATCTTTAAAATTTATTTACTGGAAAATGTTATCTATATAAATTAAAAAAGAATATTACCTGTGCAATAGCCCATTTTACCATAGGTCCACAAGCCAAACTGGCACGATTTACTTTTTCAAAATTATATTCAGGATTATTTAAATATCTTGTCTTCATTTTATTTCTAATATCATCCCTAATTGACAGAAAAAATTCAAAGTGAAAATCTTAAAAACATGTACAAAAAATGATTACACTAAAAATTATTTTCGAGTCATTTAGAAGTATTTTAACAATTGCATTCTATTCTAAAGTTTACAGTGGAACTCGTTTTATAACAAATTCCAAACAACTGCAAACTTTTTATTCATTTTTAATACACAAGAAGTAAAATATTGTATGTTTTCTCTTTTGAAAATAATTTTAATATATTCAGAATTTAATTTAATTAAATTAAATTCTTCCTTTTGTCAAAACGTACAAATTAAATTTATAAATTTTTGTTTTGGAGATTTACATATATTGAAATACAGTGGTACCTCGATATACGTCTGCTTTAGAATACGTCCTGTTTGCTCGGTATACGACATAATTCAATTATACGCGCCATCAATGAACAAGTAGCACTATTGGTGTACTAGACCAGACTAGACGTTCGCAATGCAACGGTTTATAACTTTGTTTAATTTCTTCTGATTTTAATTCGTAAGTAAAATTTTATTATTTTTATTAATCACGAATCCCAAAAAGGCAAATGAAAAGCGACAGAAAACTAAAAAAAATTACTAGAATTACAATGGAACTGATGAGAGATTGTTGAGAAATACAAAGGTGGCACGCGTGTTCGAGATTTTAACTGTTGCCTACCGTATTCCGAGAACGACAATATGAACAATCACGAAAAATAAAGACATTATTAAATCTGCTAAAATTACGAAAAGGGTTAAATCAATTTCTAAACAGAGATCAAAGTCATTAGATCATATCGAGAAATTGCTTTTGCTTTGGATAACTGAAAAACAGTGCTGGAGACAGCATATCGGAAGCAATTATTTGCGAGAAAGCTAAAAAGATACACGCTGATCTCATGAAAAATCAAGCAGGAACTAGCCAGGAAAGCAAGGTGTTTAAAGCCAGCCATTTTTTTTACACGAGAATGGATTAATCATTTTTACATTACTTCTTATGGGAAAGGTTGGTTTGGTATACATCCAATTCGGTATAAGTCCAAACATCGGGAACGGATTAAGGTCGTATACCGAGGTTCCACTGTACTTGTCCACCATTGAATGAAAGATTTTTTTTAATAAGCAAAATCATTTATAAGTAGCTTTTATTATTAGTTTCCAAAGAATATAAAGACAAATTATTCAGAAACAATTATATAAGAAATGAATTCTTACATAATTTATAGGTTAATTTGAAATTTGTAAATATTGAGCATTTCCTTAGCTTTTAAAACTAAATTAAGTATATAGTGTTGAAATTTTCACACTTTTTAATGAAAACACAAACTTTGATACAGTAAGTATAATAGCAGTCATCACTCTTGATTAAATAGACACAGATTTATCTCAAATTTTGAACTAGACACAGGATTTATCAAATAGTTTGTTTCAATCATCATCATCTGATAAATTTTTAGTATTTAATTACAATTATTAGAATGGATAATAGGAAAAAGCACATTATTATTAGAAATATAAAATGTATCTATATTACTGTGCACTTAAATATAATAATAAAGACATGTAGTTTCATGTTTTCATAAAAAGTTAAGTTATGCATTTATGTTCTTCACATCTAAAAGATTAAACCCACACATTTATAAAACTAAAATTATTTTTTTTTTCAATAATGTTTTCACTCATTCTAAGGCAATTTTCTGCTTGCAAAGAATATAAACAAATAACGTATATACAAAACACAAACTTAAAACTGAATAAGTTTAGAATAATCATCATAAAACATAAATAACTTCTATTTAACTGGAGAAACAATAGACTTACTTAAAATACCCAAACTCCAGTCTACATTTAAATGACTGCTGAACCTGAAGATGGACACATAAGAACTTTGGTGCTAATATCCCACATTACTGCTGGAGTTTGGATATTTTAAATCTATACTAATATTATAAAGAGGTAATGTTTATAAGTATGTAAGTAAGTTTGTATGCAGCAGGTAATCTCCGAAACTACTCATCCATTTCAAAAATTCTTTCACCAATATTTAGAATGGAACTTCAGGGTGGACATAGGCTGTATATTATTCTGTTAAACATTCATATAAATTTAAAAGATATAATCTACGTTAAGGCTTTTATGTCCAACAGATAGTGTTAACTCCACAAGTACGACGCTCTAAGTTTGCTTTTCTGAGAGGCATTATGCTTTTCTGTGAAAATGAACTAAAGCAGATCATCTTCTATCTATTTATATAAATAAAAATGTAATGTTCGTTTGTTCCTACCGATTCCTTTGAAATTTTGACACAACGCTGCATTCGAATACGCACGTGTTTTTATATAATATACGTGTCGAAATTCCCCCCACTGAAGAGAGATGGTTAGGATTAAGGCTTACAGTAAAGAACTCTGCTTCTATTTATACTATTTTAGATGCGGGTTTTTGCGTTTTAATAGGGCACGTCAAGAGAATGTACACTAATTAGAAATTTTTCAAAAAATTTCCCCTTCCCCATAAGGGAAGTGTTATAAATTTATAATAGATACATTTGAGCCACAACAACGCATGGTGGGGTCTGCTAGTAAGTCTATAAAACATAAATTAATGTAATTTTAGGTGAAACTAACTGATGGGTTTTCTGTATCTAATGATGTAGTTATCTGCTGATTTTAACTTGTTCTTTGTTTAAACTTATCAAGGATATCATTTAAAAAAATGTAATACATTCTTTTATATTCATCTGTCAACATGATTTTTTCCAGAACCATCAAATCATGTATGATTCATGTTCTGGCTTTCATTCCCACCAAACTTGTTTTGCACCAAATAGCTTTTTAAAGCATCAGATTTAATGTCAATAATATCTATGGTATAATTTTTTTGAGTTTATTTCAGCATATAGTTATTGGCTAAACAGAACAGAAATGAAACAAAATTTTGTTGTTTAAAAGCCTTTCTGTGCTTTAATTTAATGCAGTGAAAGTGGTTTCATCTTAAATTTCCTTTTTTTGCATTTTACTTATTTATACTGTATTTACATCTACAATAAACTGCTAACAAAAAGAAAGAAAAAAAAAAAAAAAGTGTTTATGATGATACTGTCTGAACTGTACACCAGGAATACAGACTGCAGCCCTCCAATTGATTTGCTGGCAGCTCCCCACCATTATTTTAACTCTGAAATAATGCCCACACTTGAATGTTCTTGATAATGTTAATAATTTAATTAAAAATTAATAACACAGCTTAAAATTCCCACAACTGATTCAAATAAAAGTTATTTGAGTTTTACTGGATGTCTTCTATGTGCTCAGAAAGTTTTGCGATTATATATCCAATAGAAATTTATATATTTTTTACTTTGTTTTTCAGTCCCCACCTTTAACAATACTATAGATGACTGAATAATCAGTAATCTATTTAAGTATACTTGGTAAAGTCAACAATCTGGCAAGATAGCTATCTGCACCATACAGATTTTTGAAAGTTTTCTGCAAAACATCAGTAACAGTTGTGGTAGATAACCTTCAAGTTTTTTTGTGGCCCTCCCGTAAGTCACAGTGAATCTATATGGCCCTTGGTCTTAACAAGTCTGTTCATCCCTGCTGTACACTGACAAGTACAGTGGTACCTCAGGATATGAAATTAATCCGTTCCGAAACTGAGATCGTATCATGAAAATGTTGTAAGGTGAATCATTTTTCCCCCATATGATTACATGTAAATCCAAATAATTTGTTCCAACACAAAAAACACACTCAAAGCTAAGTAGTACATTGAAAAAATTAACTTTAGTAAGGAAAACACTGAAAAATGCATTTTGTAGTTGTAAATGTATAAATAACCATAATAGAATAATAACTGATTAAAAAAAAAAATGCACTTTTATTTGTACTTTACCTTAGAGGATAGATGATGGAGGAGGTGTAAACTGATGGCGGAAAAGAGGGAGAAGGGAAATGATACTAAAACTTAACTTACATAACACAATGTAACAATAACTTAAAAATAACTTAGAAAAGATTAAAAAAATTAGTGTTGTTTTATATATTTTTTAAAATTTTTATTCACCGCTTTTTGCTTTCTTTCCTTCACTTCTACCAGCACTTTCACTGGATAGAGGTCGCTTGGTAAAATATTTATCCAAAGAGGTTTGGCTTTGCCTACTTTTTAAAATGTTTCTAAAATGACTTAGGCAAATGTCATTATTCCAAGCAGCATTATGACCAGTGTCAACCTTTTCGGGATGTTTTTTTTTTTTTTTCAATAAAATCAGTCACTTTCTGATAATACCCGAAAATTTCCTTTATTGCTTTATTCAGTCCGCGTGTTTGCTTCATCATGGAAGGATCTTGCATGATGAATGCAAGATCCTTCGCGTGTTTGCTTCATCATGGAAGGATCTTGCATGATGAATGCAAGATCCTTCCATGATGAAGCAAACACGCGGACTGAAACCAATGAATAGAAGTGAATAAAAAATGGCTCTGCGAACTAATGTAATGTTGTATGGTGAGTTTTTGTTCGTATTGTGGAGCAAAATTATGTTCGAATTTCATGTCGTATCCTGTAAATTTTGTATGCTGGGGCGTTCGTATCCTAAGGTACCACTGTATTCAAAGTTGCAGATAATGCAAAGAGTTTATTTCTATTCTAGCATTTTTTTGCAGGTTATATGCTACTACAGATTATTTGTACAAAGTTACTGTATAAACAAATAAATTTAATTTGATAATTTTTACAATCGGAAAAAAATATATTAAGACCAAGAAAATTTAGAAGTCAACATTTTAATGAAAAATAGAAAATATCAACACTTCTCCAACAGCTAAAAACAAGCTTTGTTAATATTACAGTCCTTGTGTATATGTTACTGTGAAAGACCAAAATTAGAGAATGTCGATATTCTCCAATGAACGTCGACACATACAAAATATGTTGGTGAAAGACTGAATATTTGGTTATATTATTATACATTTGAACAATTGCCGGTGTACAAGGTGCATTCCATAAGTAATTTATGCGACCAAAATTATAGTATAATAATGCGACCAAATTCATAAAAAATTATTTATTGAACATATTTTTACAATTAGTCAAAAATCTTCGAAATAGCACCCTCCTGCATTGATACACTTGTGAAGGAGGTGTTTCTGGGCCTGGAAGGCATTCTGGAAGGCCTTCTCCGGAATGTCCTTTAGAGCTGATGTAACATAAGCCTTGATGTTTTCAATTGTGTCCCAATGTTTCCCTTTCATGCGGGGAAACAAAAAAAGTTGGCGGGAGCCAGGTCAGGACTGTAAGGTGGCTGTGGAACAAATGGGTGCAGATCCTGGCCAGGAAATCGTTGACAGTGAAGGTGCTGTGGCTTGGCATGTTGTCGTGATGAAGTTTCCGCGTGTCCGTGATGTCATTTCGGCAGCATGTGACTAGGATTTCAGTCTTTTGAACACTTCCAAGTAGAAAGCTGCATTTACAGTGGTCCTGACAGGTGTGAATTTGTGGTGGTTAATGCCTCTGATGTCAAAGAAGACAATTCGGGAGTTTGATGGACATCCACTACAAGGTTTGTCGGTGACCTCCTCTCGGCCATCCTTGAAAGACTTGTGATTTGGAGAAGCAATCACTCCCAAAGGCCTGCTGAATTAATGTAAAAGTTTCAGTGGCGGCTTCCCAAGTTTAATGCAAATTTGATAGCATAACGATGCTCCACAAAATGATCCATCGCTCTGTGTTACATTAACTCAAAACGGGGTTCATGGGAACGAACGTCCTCACACACCGGCAGCTTGGAGGCAAACGACACCAAGTGAGTTTTGAAGCTAACACCCCACACCACCTAGCACAGCAGGTTAGAACTAGTTACGGCATATCCTTGTGTCGTGAAAAAATTAGTCACATTACTTACGGAACGCACTTTGTATGTTAACAAGCACAGATAAGCTTTGGAGGAGGTTGAAATGACACCCGAAGAGCCGATGTTGACAGAAAGGTGACAGTCTGTTGCCAATTCCTTTTTTCTGCCGTGATTGAAATCACATGGTATCTATTTGTTATACTCTGGAACACTGCTGTTTGTCAGTCTTATGTAAGGTTTCTTGGTGTGTGCAACATTTTCTTAAATTTTATTTTTTTATTTGATACCCTAATTTATATTGAATGGATACTACAGTAAACCAAAAACTTTTTTTTGAAAAGTTACATGCATTAATTGCAAGTGAATAAGACAACAATTGTTTTTATTTTTCTCAAGAAAAGTACTCTAAAATACTTTCTGAAGTGATTTCTGTTAAAACAAAGTGCAGCACATCTTTAAATTACAGACGATTAAAACGTTTTGACATTTTAAAAATTAATGAAGAAGAAAAATTAATTGTACCATTAAGACCAGGAGAAACGAATAAACAGTATTATGTTACCAATGCTAAATTGTTCAGTATACTATCTGAAACTCACAGCAAAACAGGCCATGGAGAAAGAACTTAAAGAATTGCAACTTAAATACAAAAATATTACATATGAAGTTGTAATGTTGTATTTAAATTTATGTAAACAATGTCAAATAAAACATAGTGCACCTAAGAAAGGTACTGTTGTGAAACCAATGGTCAGTTCGCAGTTAAACTCAAAATGTCAAGTTGATCTGAGAGACCTGTAGTCACACAATGATGGTGAATATAAGTTCATAATGATATATCAAGATCATTTAACAAAATTTGTCCAGCTACTACCTTTGAAAACTAAGACAGCTGAAGAAGTAGCATATCACCTTCTTCAAATATGTTTAACATTTGGTGGCCCAGCTATATTGCCTTATATAATGGTAGGGAATTCTGTAATCAAATCATATCCGGAACTATGTGCTATGTGAAAAGATGTTAAGATAGTTCATGAAAAGCCTCATCATAGTCAAACACAAGGCTCAGTTGAAAGGGCCAATCAGGATATACAGAATATGTTAACTGCATGGATGAACAATAATGATACAAATAAATGGTCAAATTGCATTTGACCATTTATTTGTATCATTTTTGTTTGTACAATTTACCAAGAACACTACATATCACAAAGGAATATGCCAAAGTCCTTATGAAGCCATGTTTAACGTTAAACCAAAAAGAGGAATATCATCGTCATCTTTGCCTGGTGAACAAATCACAAATATTGAAACCAAAGAACAGCTTGAAGAAATTGTTAATACTTTTGAAGGAAATTTGAGTAGTGGCCACAAGAAATACCATATTCCAAAGAAAAATATTGAAGAGGAGCTGCAACCCACCATGTCTGCATGTCAAGCCCTGACTGAACAACACACATTTATTTCTATATAAAGAGTGGCTGAGAAAGAGAATCTTCTACTGTAAGCAATGAAAATGTTACAAACCTCAAAAAGAAAATTTCCTTCTGCTCAAATTGGTGACATCGTACGAATACAAGTCCCTGATGTCAACTGTGGCTGTACAGATGCCCGAAATATGTTGCCGGTTGTTGTTGGAATAGGAGACTTCAACTTTTATAAATTAGCAAACAAAAATGGTATCCTCAAGCAGCTTTATTCCCGTAATCAGTTCATAATTTGTAAAGAAAAGTTACTTTCCATAGATGAGATTTCTTCTCAAGAAATATCGCTGAGAGAAGTAGCTGCAGATAATTCAAAAAGTGGAGGCCAAGGCTATACACGCTGTCATTGCAAAAAGAAGTGTTCCACGAATAAATGCAATTGTAAATGCAAGGAACTCTTGTGCAATTCAAAGTGTCATAAGTTTAAGTTGTTGCAATAAATAAAATTGTATAACGTTAATCACATAATATATGTGTAAGTTTACTATTGCATATTATTTTTCTTTTCTGATTAAGAATGTATTGTTCGTTTTAGGTTCAACAGTTTATTTACATGTGCTGTTACTTAAGCTTTCTCCTATTTTGCATATTAAAAAGTTGCATTTTTGTCTTAATGTAATAAAAATATTTTTATTCAACATTCACCATCCGTGCATGCTGAATATCGACATTTGCCAGTGTAAGTGAGAAATAATGATATTTAGCAAATATTTCATACATAAACGAAATGACTGCGTGAATGCTGACATTCACCGGAGAATCTTGACATTTGTATAATAGATGCAATAACACATACACTAAATTACTACATTATTACATTTAAAAAATGTTTTAATTCTTGATTAAATGAAAAAAAATTCAACATTTTTCAGATTGAATAATAAAATTGCTTAAGATAGATAGGAAAAAAAAAAATTAAAAAATATTTAATTGAATATAAATTAAACAAATCGTAAATTAAATAAAATCATTATGATAGAATATGTATTTATTTATATATTCTAAGTAAATTCATAAACTTTTCAATATTATCTAAATTTACAAATTTCAAATTAATACTTTACTACAAAAAATTGCAGCTAACCATAAATATTTTATGTAAACAGTAATTGTATATTAAAAAAAACTTATTTATTGAAAGATTATCAATGTCTTTATATATATATATGCAATAACATATGTTTTATTGTAATGACTATATATATATAATATATTTTAACTTCTTTTTATTTAACTGTTTTTTTAATTTAATTACAAAAATTAACTAAAATATTACTTTCATGTTTACTTACTAAAGATTAACAGTTACAATCCTAAAATATTAAAATCTTTTAAAAGAAACCAATGGAAGAATTCAGGAAATGAACTAATGTAAGAACTTAATACAAACAAAAACTTTTGGAATACTAGAAAATAAATTTTTCGTACTACAATAATTCCATTAAATAATCTTTCTGTATGCATGCATAAATAATTTACAACTTAAAATTAATATTAATCATCATCAGTTGTAAATTAAAATAATATTTTTAAATTTTCAATAATTATTTTCTGCAACTGATGTAGTTATTTTTTTTAAATTATAATTATTGTATGGGTAGCTTTTAAAATGAAAATTAGGAACTCATTATAAAGGAGTTCTACTGTATAAAATTGTATATGTATTTTTTTCATTTTTTTTGGGGGATAGATACACAGTACATGCAAATGACAACATGACATTCATTACTCCAATATTGCATAAAAGCCTTACGCCAGTGTTTCAGAAGAGAAGTTCACAATGGTAGGAATAAAGTTTTCTCGAATGATGACTGAACGTATAGCTCTCCAATCTGGAGCTGGTTCTCCAAGCAAAAGACAAATTGATTCCAGTGCCATCTTCACAGGTGGAGGTGGATTGCTCATGGATCTTACCTCCACTAAATGCTGTCTCTTGATACCCTTCACCGCTGAACAATTCAGGAAATTAAGCGGTCAAGAAATTAAGAATACCATTTTAAAACAAACATATTTAGGGAACCAATTAATTGATTTCCTAAATATATCAATAAATTGACTAATTTATAATAATTTAAAGTTTATTATAGTTATATTTAAAAAATTTTCAACATCTAACTTACTCTAAATATACTATTTTTCAATATAATGATATGTAGCTTTTTAAAGACTTAAATTATTTTCTTTTCAATTTGCATAGTTTATAAATAATATTTGTACATATAAATATATTTACACACATTTATTCTATAGAATTTTTAAGAATTAAAAAAAATCTATTATCTATATTATTAATATTATTACTTATATATTTCCAGTATTAAAACTTTAGTGTATTAGCTCATATCATCATATGATTATTATATGATATCTTTGCAGATGTGTGTTTATTGAAGATTGTGTTCAAAATGAATCTTTCAACAAGCAAACATCTATACAGATATCACCTGAAAAGAGAAAAAAAAATTATGTCAGTAAGCCTTACGTAATATCATCAGTGTGGAAGTTGACAATGATGTTAATAAAGTTTTCCCGAATTATCACTGAACGAATTGCCTTCCAATCTGATGTAGATTCACCCAATAACAAACAGATGGATTCAAGTGCAAGTTTAACAGGTGGTGGTGGATTGGCCATGGAACGCACTTCTACTAAATGTTGCTTCTTGATAGATTTAACAGCTAAGCACAACACAAAAGCCACAAATCACCAAAATAAAATTACAACACTTAAAATAATAAAAATTGCAAATAAAACTGGAATAAAAGTGGTCATTATACTGAAGCAGGTATTTATTAAATTTGGAGATAAATGAAAATAACTAAAAATAAATATAAAAAGTGCAATACTAATAATAACTATTAATGAAATAAATTTATTAACATTCAAAATAATTTTTTGAAACATTCATGCAATAAACACATATACATTATTGTAAAAATTTTTAAAGAACCTGGATTTATTTTATTCAATTGAACTGATGTATAATACAATATTAATATACATATCAAAAATCTTCTAATCTGAATACCGGTATTCTTATAAAAATCGTACTTACTAAACCTTTATTGTCTTTACCTTGTTATTTATAAGACAATAAAGGTTTAGTAAGTACGATTAATATACATAGTACAGGTTTTTCTACTGATTTTAATTTAAAACTTAAAATTAATAGAATTTCAAGAAATTTTCTACATTAAAATCAATTATATTAGATATAAAATGTTTTTACCTATTTATAGTTATAAAATTTGTTTAATATATATCTATTAGGGAATATATTTTTTATCAAACAAAATGCATCAAGTTCTAAGTTCTCTCTCTCTTTTTTTTCATAATCAGTCCAAGATAGATAAGAGAAACAACTATGCAAGTTAAATCAGTTAATGTCAGACCACAACACAAATGGTAGCACTGTAATAGCTGTACACTAGTAACAATTTTATTATGACCTATTTGTGACATTGTCAAACCAAGATTAACATGTTATAATCCATTATCTGCATTTATGTTTGTGTGTTTGTGTAAGAAAGAGATTCAACAACAGATGACAGAGACATGTAAAGATGTGATGGACACAAAAAAACCTATACTCCTGGATGTGGCAGTTCCATGAAGTCAAACATCTTGCTTCAAATCAACTTTTCCAATAAAAACTGCCTGAGTGAAAGTGGTAGTTATGTTCTTACCATGCAGACCTTATGAAAAACTTTAGCTGACTTTACAGCATAAACAGTTATAGAATGCTTCATAGTTCTATTTTCACAAAGACAATGCTCCCACTCATTATACAACTTTGATGAAAGAATTTAGAAAGGAATGTATTGAAATACATGTCTATGTTATATTACAGTAGAGTGTCGTTTATCCGAAAGCATTCCAGTCAGCAAATTTAAATTTTCTCTAGTGCTGTGGCGCTGCAATCTTTGGCTATATCTTGGGCTACTCCAATATTTTTTTTGTTGATGTGTGTGTGTTTTAGCTGGCAGCACTGGCACTTTTGTGTGGTGTTTTTCTGAGGACTGTGTGTCGTGCTGAATTGAACGTTTTTGATACTAGATCATCTTCTAAAGTATATATTTTTTGGTTTTTATATTTTACAATATATTTATTTTGTTTGTAAGAAATAAAGAAATAATTTTTAACAATACAATAGCCACGATTATTTTAAAAAGTATACATTAGGCTTAACATCAATGAAAATTCAACGCAAAGCGACACGCAACAGAGAAAAATTTCAACACGGGATAGGTTAATATATTTTTTCGTACATAATCAGTTATCCGAACAACCTCAGTCCCCAATTGATTTGGATAAACAATGCTCTACTGTATTTGTAAATTACACAATCAACATGTCAACTACTATGAATTCACAGGAGGACTGTGTGTGAAATGGATTATCAAAACCAAATTTGAAAACATATATTACTGAAAACCATCTGAATGCATAACAAATTAAAAAAATAGCAAATATTATGCACAGGAAAATAGCAAGTATCCTTGTGTTTCTGAGGAAATTCCAATGGTTATAGTAAATGCTTTACACTTGCAATGTCATCGTATGCAAGTTCAAAGAGCAACACATTAATCTCAGTTAAGGCTGTTAAAATTAATAATACAATATATCAAATCTTAGATACTTGTGCCTTTAACCATGTAAGTTACAAATAATTATACAAGGTGATAGGTTGATCTGAAGGAATATGCCTGATAAAGTGGACAGATATAATAAATTTCTGAAAAAAGATCATTTTTCCCAATAAAACAATGTAACATATTTCAGGGAAAGAATAAATGTATAAGATTTGTAAAGTAAAATTTTGCCACAGGAGAATACATCAGAATCTCAAAATGGATATGCATAATTTTAAAAAAATGCATCACTGAGTGGTGATTGAGATACTTCTCTTCATACAAATTGTCACAAGAAACTTTAAATATAATCAGGAAAAGTGTTATTAATAAGTTGTAAATATATTCTGCATAATCAAATATTGCTTGTATACAGTATGACGAACATTTGGATATGCATGCTTCAAATTATAAAAAATCTTATCATTCTTCCTATTCTATTTATATTCTTGTCAAAGGACTGACACTATGAAAAAGAATTTACATTATAATAATGTATTATAATGAAAATATAAATGTACATTAAATAATGAAAACAAAAATCTTTCTTATTTTGGTCAGTGTTTAATTTGTAATAATGGCAAATCTGTTTCTCTTCAGTTTTTAATGGCACTTTATATCTTGATTTTTTGTTCTAAATATAAAAATAGGCAATCTAATAAATATAGTGGAAACTCAATTATTGGAACTTGATGGGGCCAGGGATCTTTTGGATAAACAAAACACTTGTTTGTTTTTATGTATTAGGTTCATCAAGAACCGTGCATTTATGAATTTAAATTTTCATAAACATAAATACTGCAATGCTATTACTGCATTTGAAAGTAAATTAATTTACTCTAAATGTAATGTAATGACCTAGTTTTGAATGCTACAATTGATAGATATGCAGTAATTTCTAATTATATGAAGAGTTTGGTCTCTGTATTATGCTCTGTGGTGTACAACACACTTTTTTTTTTAATTATTTTGAATAATCTAAAGTTTCAGATAATCAAGTTTCTACTATATATACTTTTGTTTATTATTAATAGATAGATAATAGAAATTGATAAGTAAATAAATAAAACTTAAAACTATACAGCCACAGATTTTAAAATTTGAATTTGATCCCGAATAAAAATGTATTTTTTTTAAGTATGTTTATAAAATCTCTCTCTCTTTTACCCCAATACAAAATTCCCAAATCTCAAATATTACATAACAAGTTCATTAATTTAAATCAAATCATCACAAAATATAATTTTTTAAAAATTATTTGCATCTTTGCAATAATTCTCTAGACTTACTAGTTATTACCATATTTTTGCAGAATGACTGGCATGCCGGTCTATAAGGGGAGACCACAAAATCAGATATTTCCATATGGTAAAAGTTGGCATGCTGGTTTAAGTGAGCATTAAAAAAATGAATAAGTTATGTCATGTAAAAACGAATGAGTTTTTATTCTAAAACTGTGAAACTGTCAGAATTACATCAAAATCTATGATTATATTTGAAGTTTAGACTATTTACAAAAATATCAAAGTTTTGAGTCTATCTTAATCCTTTTTTATACAACCCCAGAAGTAACAGTTAACATGGTTTTTTGAAGAATATACTTCTTAAAACAAAGATAAACAATAAGTAAAAAAGTTCACAATGTTAAAAACGATCAAGTGTCAACCTTCTGTTATAGGTTCTGACACTTTACATTAAAAACACAAAGAATTCTTCTCACCACATTGTCCTTATCCATTTTTTAACTGCTTCAGGCCCTCTGGTGGTAGTTATGACTTATCCTACTTCATTTGCATATAGATACAATTTCTGTAATTACTTAAAAGTGTCAGAACCTGTAACAGAAGGCTGACACTTGATCGTTTTTAACATTGTGAACTTTTTTTTTTACTTGTTGTTTACATTTGTTTTAAGACATATATTCTTCAAAAAACCATATAAACTGTTACTTCTGGGGTTGTATAAAAAAGGATTAAGATAGACTGAAAAATTTGATATTTTTGTAAATAGTCTAAACTTCAATTATGAAGAAATATATCCTGAGTAATCACAGAAATTGTATCCTATGATTATATGTTTAATTTCTTTATTTTGTCTGCTTTCTAACAATATAAAATACTCTTGGAATTCCAAAAGTGCTTTGTTTGTGTATATTTTATTGTTATTTGATTAACATTAAATTTAAGAAACTCACTGTGAATTATCTAACTTACACCAATTAACATTGGTTTTGGGTAAAATTTGAAAGAAAGGTATTATTTTTAAGGTTGGTGTAGATGGTCAGTATAGCCTACACTGACTGAGTCATTTAAACTAAAAATCATCTTGAATTAATCGTTTTATTGTCTTGTAAATGAAAACTCTCTTCCTGATTTTAAGTCAGTCATATTAGTGTTATTATTTTATTGTATTTGGAAGAATGTTTTCTTTAACGTTTAATTAACAAGTAGTTTTGTTAGATCTAATTAATATCATATTTTAGTCACAGTTTAACTAGCATGCTGTAAACCCAAAGGTTACTGGAATGCCAATTCGTTTTTATGCGGCATGCATGTTATTATGTGAAAATATGGTACATATTCTTTTATTTATATAAAATAGTAATTATAATAATACTGTAGTAATATTATTAAAAAATAAATAAAAATCTGCCAAGAAACTATTGTTCTCCAATAATAATAATTTATTCAAGAATATGAAGTACTGTATATGGTGGCTGTGCTTCATATCTGAATTTTAAATTTAATTTTGCATAAATGTATGACCTTAATTTATTTTACAAAAGGACAGAATAAACAATAATAATTGCAAATTTTCCTTTACTTTAATTACATATACATGTAAATTTGCAATTTTATTACCTTGCTGGGCTTCAATAACAGCTGGTTCCACTTGAGCAAGATCTTTCATTACACTAGCTCGTTTTTCAACTATTTTTTCTTCTTGTTTCTAATAAAATATAGAAATTTTAAAAAATCAAATTCAATATTGGGAAATATAAACATGTTTTATTCAAAAAATAAATATTACTCTTAATGCTGCTTGAATTTCATGAGACTGTACTTTTTTCTTCTCTGCTTCTTGTTGATCTTTTAACTAAAAAACATCTTGAATTAATATTATACAGAATTTATTATATTATTATTGGTGAATATCAAATAATAATTTAGATCATTAAGAAATTATTTAAGATATTCTGTTGTTATATTTTGAAAGCGTAACTGGTTAATGAAAAACCATTTGCAATTTTTGTAATACTTTATTACATAAAAAATATTTTGTAAATGGAAATCTTTTGGTGGCAATATCAATTTACTATGATGTTAAATGGTCAACTTTTAGCCTGACTATACAGAGAGAAAAACACGAATAGTATGTCAAAATGCATTTGACTAGATGTTTATTTTCTCTTACAATAAACATATGATATTCTTTAATTTCTTTCTACACAAATTTTTCACATAGATAGCAGCATATATTTGGTATCAGGTACAGGTACTCCTCACTTTACGACTGAGTTCCGTTCCTACGACTACGTCATTAAGAGAATTGGTCAATAAGTAAGGAGCTTGCAGCCAGGAATATAGGATCGTTGTAAAATTATAAAAATTATGCAACAAATTTCAAATTTATTCATAAAAAGAAATGCATATGTACATATTATCATTTGTTTATTTGGTTATCTGGATCTGTAGAGGTTTTTTCCCAGGTAAAGGAGATGATGACGATGAAATAAAAGTTGTACCTTCAAGGGCGGAGGTCTTGGATGTAACAGTCGAAAAGAAACTCGTAACTGTAGTTTGCGTTGTAATCTTCTTGTTTTCTTGATAAATTTCTCTATAGCACTTCAAAAGTTCACTCATCCCACATTCAACTTTATGTTAAAACGTTCAGTATTAGGATCCATAGCCTCAAGTTCCAACATAGCCACATTAATTTTGGAGAACACACCAACTAACCCATGTACTGTGAATTTCTTTTTCACTTCTTTTGTCTTCTTCTTCTTCCAAATACTGCATCACTTCTAACTCTATTAAATCTTCATTGGTTAGCTCTCCATTGGCATAATCCACTAATTCAGCAGTGCCTTCCACTTCAACATCTAAATTAAGCGCATTGGCTAATCCACTAATTCAGCAGTGTCTTCCACTTCAACATCTAAATTAAGTGCATTGGCAAGGCCTGCAATTGTTTAAATTACATCAAACTGACTAAAAGAGTCCATAGCAAGCCTATACTACACTCAGTGAGCATGTCACCAATCGCCACTCAAGCTGAGAAAGGGGATTTCCCAAATTGCAGGTTGAAATTTGATTGGTCGTACGTGCGAGTGGTTGTTAAGCAGATAGGTCGTAAAGTGAGGAGTACCTGTATATATTTTTGTGAAAAATCTTATAAAAAAGAAAACATTAATTTCAGTAGTTATTTGATAAGAGATAAAAGAAATTTTAAGCTGAATTTTTTAATAATTAGTATTTTACACTTTAAAACATCCAATAAATACTATAACACACTTGTAGCTTGGTGTGCACTATGTTGGCCTCTATTCCTAGACTTATTATACTGTCTCTGGACAAGATTACAGCCTTAAAACATTAATTTATTTTCCAAAAAAGTATGCATTTCAGATCTACAGTCCCTCATCAGCTTCTTTACAAAATATTTATGAAATTGACACATCCACATCCATGAAATGTGCAATAAAATCTCAACATTTGGTAAATTATCTATTATGGATCCAACCATTATGTATGTAATTAAAACATGCTGATGTGATATTTAGAGCGATATAATTAAAACAAACAGTACACAATGTTACAAGCTGGCTAACTGTTATAATTAATGTGAAATAAAAGACACCATTAAAATAAAATGATATACTGTAATGAGGTTGTTGATAAATTGTACAACCTTCATTCCATCACCTCTTGATAAACCAAATGTCAGTGTTAAGTCTATAGATTTCATCATTTAATAGATGAAGGTTTGTGCTCAAATATTGACTGAGATCTAGCAATTTTATATAATAATAATTTCATTACATCTCCAGAATAATTTGCCTAGATCCCAGTCGACATTTGAGCACAAACCCTTGTCTATTAAATGATGAAATCTATAGACTTAACACTGACATCTGGTTTATTAAGAGGTGATGGAATGAAGGTTGGCCCATCAAGAAGTTAGTCACCACTTGTTCTCCAGATGTTGCCTGTACCATACCTTCCTCATAATTGCTCTGCACCTTGTAGTAATGCCACCTTCAAACTCCATCTTACTACTGTTATGGTATGTAGATATAAGTTGTTTTGTATAATATCATTACCTTATTATTCCGCTAATTTTAATACTGTTTATATTAAAATTATGTCATGCTACTGTGTAACATCATAAAGCCACCTTAAGCCTGTCTTCTCTGCACCCATTTAATGTTCAATAATCATAACTTTATAGTGGTTCCTTTATCTTGTATAATTTTAAGTATTATAACTCTTTTCATATGTATATCAACTGAAGAGGGACTATTCTGTTATTTCATGTTAATGTAATTGATTTTAACATACATCCCTTTTGTTTTATTAAATGAACTCCATTGATACCTGGGTGTCCATTGACATCCAGATATCAATGGAGTACACTGGTGTGATAAGACCTTATTAGCTACCTCACATTAGTAAATTTTTAATTAATTTAATTATACCAAGGGCTAAAAGCAATTTATTTATATTAACCTATTCAATGTTGAAATTTTTATTTGTTGCCTGTGACGGCATGTTGAATTTTTGCCAATGTTAAGCCAAAAATTTTTTTTAAAAATAATAATCGTGTTTACCGTAAATTATTTTTTTATGTTTCGCAAACAAAATAAATATATTGAATAATATAAAAACGAAAAAAATTATATTTTAAAAGTTTGTTTTAATATAAAAATCGTGACGCATAGCGACATCTAGTATCAAAAACAGTCCGATGTAAACATGAATATATTCGGGATTGCCCACACAGGTCAATGAGGTCAACACGAATATTTTCAGGAACAACGTAGGACAGGTTAATTATATTTTGTTAGTTTTACAATTATTAAATTTACCAGAAATAAAATTCTTATCATTAAATGTAGAAAAAGTAATTCAAACAAATACTTCTTCTAACACAGATTTTGTTTTTAAAAATATTGGGGCAATATTCTTTTTGCTTTCATCTTAATCAAAGGTATTCACAGTTAGACTTTGTACCATTTCTAACTTCCTGCAATTACTGCACTACTGAATTGAGCCACATCCCTTTGTAATTACAAAATAAGTTTATATACAGATTCCCATATTCATTAATTATCACGAACAACAGTTAATGTAACTAATTATAATACATTCATTATTCAATACCATTTCTTTCAGTTTGGCATTAGCAGCATGATTCTTAGCTTCTAATTCTTGGCTTTTCAATGCAAGAGATTTTTGTAGTTCTTCAACTTGTTCTACAGTTTCTTGGATTTTTGAGAGTCCTACATTTAAATGCAATTGTTGTTCTTCTAATTCTTCTTGTTTCTCATTAAATAATTTAACCTTAAATATAACAATTTAAAATAATTTTATAAATATCAAAGTTTTTACAAAACAAAGAATTATACAAAATAAAATTTAATTCAATTACTACTTACATAATGATGAATAAAATCCAAGAAATGCCTAGGTGTTATTGTTATTGTTCTTCCACCTCGTTTTGCCAGACGAGCATTTGCCTTATGCAGAGTTTGATGAACATAAACAAATGCATTAATGATTGCACTCCGATGATTAGGAGGCAGTGATAATCCAGGAAAAGCAGCAGGGAAGTAGTCTGGTACTTTATACTACATAGCAAAATATAAATAAGAATAAAATAAAATTTATAATTTAATAATTTTTCATAAAATAATATGGTTAACAAACAAAATTAAACAAGTTAAATGAGTATCTTATCCTGTTAAGAATTATCTTTATTGCTTTAAATAAATTAATATATATCAGTTTAAGATTATAATAATAATAATAAATTATCAGTTTTCCTACCAACACAACAATATTACTATTCATATCTATTTGGCTAAATGATAATACAGTGTCAACTCTTCAAATTTTTAATTTGAGAAAATTTGCAGTTGATTATTCAAATCATACAAAATATTTCTGCATACAAAGCGTAATAATTCAGATAAATCTTTCTCAATGCATATGATAGCACTAAGAAATAGCAATTAAACCCACCTATGATAATTAACATTTTCTATGTAAAGCTTGACAATTTTGATGAAAATTTACTATTTTCGTCATCAGTTATACAGATAAAAATAAGAAAGTTTCATCATGAATAATATCATTGGATAAAATATCTATATAAAGACAAACAAATAAGCAATATTATTTCTTACTTGTATTATGTGTATTGATAATATTTAACAACTTTGAAATAATAAACTAATAAACTAAAAGAAGGGGGAAAAAAATAGAAATGACTAACCACAGTTTGTAAGAATAATTCTCATTTAAAAACCACACAAGCTAGAACATCTAACTTAGAACAAATTGTTTCTTCCTGTAAAACAAATATCTTACAGTTTCAAATGTTTTGATTGATCTGAATTTTCAATACCAAAAGTTATTATCTTCTCACAAAAGAAACACTAATTCAGTTTTGAAGATCCTAACAACTAAATCTTACTGCACAACTTTTATGAGCTAACATTTATAAGAGTTGAGAAAGTACAAAATTAATTCAAAACAATTCTCATATCCAGACTAAGGAAACAAATTTAGCATGAAAGAAGAGATTTGGATTCAGAATATTCTTCAGCCTGTAATTATGATTAAATAACAATTATTTTAGGAGATAACTTCAAAAACCAAAGTAATTGCATTTTTTAACTTTGATTATAATTCAAAACTTGAGAGCATATATTTTGAAAACTTTCAAACTATTTCAAATATATTAATACAGTAGAACCCCCGTTAACGAACGTCCTGGTTAATGACCAAATTGGTTAACGAACTTTTATTTTGCAAAAATTTTGTCTCGAATAACGAACGTACTGGTATTTTGTGTCAAATTTTAGTTGGTGTTAGGCATGCGCGAGTTAAGCATTGCTTTTCTGAGTGTTTGTGCTATACTTCTTTTTATCAGTTTTGTGATTTATATATTTAATCAATATGACATCAAAGAATAAAAAAAAAGTCATAGTGGCAATAGAGAACAACAACGTGCTATCGCATTTGAGAAAGATTTTGCTTAAAAGAGTAGGACAATCAACTTTAGATCAATTTCTTGTTCCTCATGCAAAAAGTTTGTTTCTTTGTTAAGTTATGGCAATGCAACACTTGGGCAATCTGACTAGGGGGAATGCCTTCTGGGAGATGTTTTTAAGGGAAACTGGCCCCTATTTAGGCGTTACAGACGTGGAGAAATCCCAGAAAACTCCAAGTGGCCAACCCGTCTGAGCAAGGTGCAAACCCATGAACGAATTCCCCGTGTTCAAGGTACGAAGACCACTTAGCCACTGGTGGGTTTTTTTACCGAAAGAGACTTCGACTTGAAGAATCTTCTGATGAAGTGCTACCCGTTATTTTTTTGGAGGGATTCCCCTTCTAAGCATTAAGGTTCGTATATCTCCACTTTTCTGCCACCAACTACAACAAACGAAGGTATGTACAGTGCTATTTTATTAAACAAAGTTTACATGTTTGTTGCTGTAATGATAAATACTATGTTTTCCTACATTTTCATCAAAGAAAATTACTGTATATTAAAAATAAAATGACAAAAATTTCTGAGACTAGAATAGATTAATTGCATTTGCATTAATTTCTATGGGAAAAATTGCTTCGGTTAATGAACAATTCCGTTAACGAACGGAGTCGTGGAACGAATTAAGTTTGTTAACCGGGATTCCACTGTATTTATGAATTTACTGCATAAGATTATAAGTGCAGTTTGTAACAGTAAGAAACACATCAAGTTTGTAAAAAACATTTAGCTTTATGAACAAAATTAGCAACTTATTTAGACTGTTCAACTTCAAAGGTATATTCATCACTGAAAACATTTCAGAAAGCATAATATTTGCTTACAGAGAAGTAAAAGATCATGTGACTGTGAGATGGCTCTACACCTTGGCCTACTATTTTCTGATTTGATCCCTATAAATTATCACAATGGCCTGAATATTAGTTGATTTTTTTCCCAGTTTAGAAGAGGAGTAAGAAAAATTGCCCTAGCTGTATTTGAGTCCAATTAACGTTTTTGATTTTGATAAATTGTTTTGGTGCATGCTGTACAGTGTTAAACTAATGCTAAAATTTAATGGTTGATTGTTTAGAAATACTAAATATGAGCAAAGTTGTAATATGTCATGCTGCAGCCCACAAACTATGAACAGGAATTAAATGTTTGGCATGATTGTAAATAACTGATTAGTTGATTGTTTAAAACAAATTGTTTTATTGTATTCAGCAGAATCAGTCAGTTTAGATAACTCCTATAGAAATTTTATTTTAGTAATTTTTATTTTACTTCTAGGAGTCTCTATTAATTGAGTGACTGTCAAAAACTGTAAGGTAAAGATTGAAAACTTACTGTAAAATTTATTTTGTAAAGTGTAAATTTCTATTATAATTATAAATTTATATATTCAGTATGATTATATGTTTTTGATAGTTATAAAAAAATAAGGCAACCAAAAATAAAACAGTTTTAGTTTCATTTTCAATAATCATAAAACTGAAAGTACACTTTCTGGAAAACATATGAAATATGCAAGGAAGTGTACTTTCCCTGGCATGATTTATCTGCTGACCAGCATATTACCTGGCACATAGAGAAAAAAAATCCCAAAATTGTCCTAACTTTTATTATTTTTATTGATATTGACAAATGGAAGCAAAAAGAAGTTAAGTTAAAATCATTTACAATGTCAGTGTTTAATTCATAATTCTATAAATAAACTTTTTGAGTACAATTTTCTGATTAATTAGATATGATTTGATTGTAATTTGTGATAATTACTAAGAAAACAATCAAAACTTTATGATGATTGATTCCCACATATCTTAAATATAAATTCAAACAAATTTTATTTCTAACTAAAGTAATTTTGAAAAGAAAGGAATGTAATTGAATACAGATAATTTTCATAATCAATCACATATAAAGTAGTAAAAAGTCAACATATTCTTGTAAAAGTGAGCATATGAAAGTAAAATTATGAGAGATTGTTTGAAAATATAGTTACTAAAGGGCTTTAAGAAGTGTTACCAAAAACTTGGACAGAACAGTGGATGATGTGCTGTTCAAGGAGGCTGAAGACCATAATGACAGTGAAAGTTGTGATGAAGATAAAAGTGATTATTGTTCTAATTACTTTCCAAATTTTTAATAAAAATTGCTCATTTTCGTATTCAAATAAAATAAATAATAAAAGGTGGACTTATATTCATTTCCTAATTTTTTCAAAAAGGAAGAATTCCTAAATTGGGAGATGATTTATTTTTGGGCCAATATGGCACTATGAGGGTATGCAAAGATTTTGTTTATTAGAGTCACTTGAAGACTTATGAGCAAGAATAATCCACTGCTGAAGATTTGAATCTTGATATTTTGGTCAAAGTGATAAATGAGCTTGATATTTATGTTGTACTAAAAATCAAGCTATATTGTAGTGTATATTATAGGCAGTATAAAAAATTTGAAATGTTTATTAGTTAAATAAAATTTGTTTTCAGTAGTATCACTTATTTGGTTTCGGACATTAAATTTTTGAAACAGTTCATTGTTTTCTGAATAACTCTCTACTGTTTTCACTATTCTTTGTATTTCCTTCTTGATTCAATACAAAGTTGATAAATTTGAATTATGTGCTTGAGGTAAATTTTCATATTTGTTTGTTCAAATCTGGTAAGTTATTTAATGATAAACTTTTCTACAATGATTAATTTTGGAAGTTATAACAGACGATGGTGAAACATACAATACATAAATGTGCATGATAAAGTAATATTAATGAGTACTTTTTAATTAATTAATAAAACATTTTTTTACCCCAGTTCTTTCCAAATCTATTTTAGATGTGAATTCTCTTCCTACTTGAAAGAAAGCTTCATCAGACCAATCACCAAACCAATTCAACACACATCTGTAAGTTTAAAGTTGTTGCTTTTATAGCAAAAATTTACATTTTGAATCAATTTTGAGTTTTAAAACTTTATTTAATAATTCACCTGTTAAACAAAGCTGGTGAAGTGGCAGCTCTATCTTTCAGTCCTTCTGATGATGGATTCATTGTAAATACAACATGAAGATTTCTCATTACCTGGAAAATGATGATAAGTCAGGTTATTATATTTTTAATTACTTAAAAATAAAGGAATTAAATTATTTTAATATTAATAACCTGCTGAGTAAACCATTTATATAATTCCTCATTAGAATCAAGCATTAATCCTTCTCTTTGAGAACCTTCCTTACATTGAGTCATTAGTGTTGTAAATTCATCACCTTCAAATAATCCAGGAACTTCACCATTTGCAAGAAGAGTATTCATTCGCTCTAAGAAACTAGAGTCTAATACATTTGATTCATCAAGAATGAAAGAGATTTTTTCATCCTAACAAAAATAATTTTATATGTAAATAAAAAGATAAAAAATAAACTCTAATTATTAATTAATTAGTTTTCACCTTGCACCCAGCTCGTCTCAAAACATGTCTCAAATCTTCATCAAAATATGCAGCAGTATACTTATTATGAACCTATTAAAAATCAAGATTTTAAAAATAAAATAAAATTTCTCATATTTAATTCTAATAACAATCTAAAATAAAGTAAGTTATTCTTTTAATTTTCTTAAAATACTAAACTTTGCTAATTAACTCTCAATCACAAACTATATCAGTTATAAAATATGATTTTCTATTTCATTTATAAGACATAAATAGAAGTTATCCTTTACTTCTTACAAAAAGACAAAGTTTTCTTACAAAAATGTTATCTATAACTTATAAATTTAGATATTACTTTACTGCATAATACTTTATGGTTAAATAACTTTAAATTCATGGAAGAGAATAAGTTAATACATAGTATAGTTTTAATAATGTATTAAAACAATTTTTGAAATTGTTAATTTTATGTTGCTACCAGATAAATTTTTATAAAATGTGGCTCATCCAATAGGAATGACCTACACTAATATTTCTATATTTTGCATATAATCTAATATTCTAGTTCAACATGCATTTGAGTTATTCTTTCCTTTGAACATGAAATTCTTAAAATAAGCTGAATAAAACATACAAAATGATTTGATGTGTTTGTTATAAAATCTATATTTTTGCTGTATTGAAATTAACAAACAATTGTTATCATCTTAAGCACTATCTACTCTTTGTTCATAATAAAATTTTAAAAAACTAATTACTAAAAACTAATAATTATAATATACAAAACAAAAAACTCACCTTGATTTGGAAGACACTTAACCCATTCATCCATGCTACAAAACGTGATAATGTTGTTTTACCTGCACCACTTACACCAATCAATAAAAGATGCCCCTAATTAAATTAAAAGCCAAGCTTTTATTAAATTTTTCTTTAACTAAATTGTTTAAATTATGTAACTTTATAATTAATAAAAATAGTGGATAATATGTAGGGTATGAGGAATATTTTAAAAAGTAATTTTACTTCATTAAAAAAATTGTAATAATAAAATTTTTGAAATGAGATCATTTACCTGAGGTTGTCTAAATATCCTATCAATTCTCAAAACATGATCCAGGACTTCATTAAACAACACTAATTGAACATCTAATTCTTCTTCATAAAATACCTGACAGAAGAAAAATCAAATTCTAAAATTTTTTTGCAAAATTACATACATAAAAGATTTTAATCATTATATTACTAATACTAAATATTACAATATTTTTTCTGTTATAACATAACATTTAAATACTTTATTAGAAATATTTTACTATAAATAATACTGTTTGTATGAAAATATAGTGTAACTAAACAATATTCATCACAAACTTATATAAAAATTATTCCAAAATTTAAAATTTTTTACATTATCTTATATACAAAAAAATTTAAGTTATAATTATTTAAGCAAATATAATTAACTTGATAAATTTGTTCATTTGTAAAATTTGATCTTAAATTTACTTGTATACAGCACTATTATCATATATTATTATTCTACTTATGATGAAATTAATTTGTTTACAGCTAATTTGTATGTTGTTTTTATTTAAATCCATTAAGTAATTATTGCAATTATTCTGAGTGAAAACATTTTAAAAGAACTTTAATGAGTAATACATAATAGAAATATTTTTGTGAAAAACTCAATAATTATTAACTTATTATAAAGCAAAAAGTTTATGAATTTATGTAATAACTACCGTGTTTCCCCGAAAATAAGACAGTGTCTTATATTAATTTTTGCTCTAAAAAATGCACTAGGTCTTATTTTCAGGGGGATGTCTTATATTTCCATGAAGACGAATTCACATTTATTGTTGAACAATACGCTAAACAGGTTCGAGAGAACACCTTGCGACACATTCAACTTAACCTTTTTATAGTGTCCACATCGAGCTCGATGACCAATTAGTGCTTACTGAACCGTAGCACTATGCAAATGTGATGTGGCGTGATTCCCAGCCGACCAATTAGCGATCACCAGCGATAACATTATGCAAATCTGTGATTCCCAAGCCATAGTCTTATGCAAATCATGCCGTGTGGCGTAATTGTCTGCTGACCAATCAGTGGCTGTACTTTCAACCATCTGTCGATGACCGTTACGACTAAAAAAAAACTTCGCTAGGTCTTACTTTCAGGGGGAGGTCTTATATTTCGCAATTCAGCAAAATCTGTGCTAGGTCTTATTTTCTGCGGATGTCTTATTTTCGGGGAAACACGGTAATGTTGTCTAGTTGTGTAATTAACAACTACATGCAATTTATTATAAAAAGTTTATAATTATTTTTAAAAAAATTTCAAGCATCACTAATACCTTTAATCTAGCTTTTACATATTCTCTCAATTGTTCACGATCAACAGGTAAATAATCTTTTGACAGCCAGTTACTATACAAGATTGGCCTGACCAATGCAGTTTCTGAATTGATGTTCGGGAAATGTTTTAGTGCAACAACATCTATGTTTTCATCAGTCCATCTTCTTTCATCTTCCTCTACAAGTCTGAAAATGGTAATGCACTTTTAAAAATAATTCTATACTAATAAATTTTTAAAAGTAGATATAATTTTTCAAATAATATTCTTACCTGTCTTGGAATAATCTTAATCCTTCATGTGCCCATAAACGAACAAGTCCTTCTACTGGTAATGTTTCTAGTGGTCTAATAGCTTCACAGATTCCCCTCACCCAACGTGTCAATTCTCGAGGACTGTACACATAGTGAGGTTGCATGTCTTGAGTAAAACGTTCCTAAATTACAGAATCACAATAATTTAAAAACTGTTTATATTATAACAAAACTTTTATAGTTTTTTTTATAACACTTAAACAAAAAAATACCTGAGACATCAAATAAAACTCCACCATAGCAGCTGTTAAAGGTTCAGCAAAAGGACGTAGAGCTGGTATTAGGCGCAACATAGCACGGTTAAATGTACCATAAATCTGCTTTAGTGATGTTTCTCCAGGATAATCAACATAAACAACTGGCACATGACGCAAAAATCTGAAATTATATTTTTAGAATATTTTACAAAATTTTAAGCTTTTTAATTTTTTAGGAACAAAGGAAAAAAAAAAAAGAGAGAGAGAGAGAGAGAGAGAGAGAGAGAGAGAGAGAGAGAGAAAGTAATATATTTTAAAATATGACTTTTTCAAAAATCAGAAATATCAGAATTTAATAAAATATGTCATTACATATTGACTAATTAATTATTTTTAAAATAAAACCCAAGATTAATTCATTATACTTCTGTAAGAAAATGTAATATAGAAGTATTGAAAAAAAAATTAAAATTTGATATTGGACAACAGCAAAATATCAGTATAATGAAATTTCTACACTGAACTATAGTCAAAATGCCAGAATGAAGGAGTTAGTTAACCTATCTGATGTTCAAAGTTTTCTTGGCTGCGTGTGACACCATGTTGAATTTTCATGATGTTAAGCCTAATGAAAATTACATATGTTTGAAAAGAATAACTGTGGCTATTGTATTGTCCAAAATTAATTTTTTATTTTTCACAAACAAAATAGATATACAGTGGTACCTCGGTATACGTCTGCTTTAGAATACGTCCAATTCAGAATATGTCCTGTTTGGACGAAACAAATTTTGCTCGGTATACGACTTTTGTTTGGTATACGACATAATTCAGTTATACGCGTCAGCAATGAACAAGTAGCACTATCGGTGTACTAGACCAGACTAGACGTTCGCGGTGCAACGGTTTATAACTTTGTTTAATTTTTTCAGATTTTAATTTGTAAGTAAAATTTTATTATTTTTATTAATCACGAATCGCAAAAAGGCAAATGAAAAGCGACAGATAACTAAAAAAATTACTAGAATTACAATGGAACTGATGAAAGAGATTGTTGAGAAATACGAAGGTGGCACGCATGTTCGAGATTTTAGCTGTTGCCTACCGTATTCCGAGAATGACGATATGGACAACTGCGAAAAATAAAGACATTATTAAATCTGCTAACGTTGCAAAAGGTGTTAAATCAATTTCTAAACAGAGATCGAAGACATTAGATCATATTGAGAAATTACTTTTGCTTTGGATAACTGAAAAACAGTGCTGGAGACAACGTATCGGAAGCAATTATTTGCGAGAAAGCTAAAAAGGTACACGCTGATCTCACGAAAAATCAAGAAAGAACTAGCCAGGAAAGCGAGGTATTTAAAGCCAGCCATTTTTTTTACATGAGAATGGATTAATCATTTTTACATTACTTCTTATGGGAAAGGTTGGTTTGGTATACATCCAATTCGGTATAAGTCCAAACATCTGGAACAGATTAAGGTCGTATACCGAGGTTCCACTGTATTAATAAATGTAATAACCAAAAAAATTATATTTTGAAAGTTAGTTTTAATATAAAAGTTATGACGACTAGCTAAATCTAGTTTCAAAAACGTTCCAATGCTGAAATCAGATATCTCAGATGAACCACTTCAGATCAGAGGTCACAACTCTAAGATATGTCAGGAATAACACAGGATAGGTTAATAATGAATTCTTAAGCTATGTGTATACTGTAGAGAAAATTTTAGCTAGATTTCACATTCTATAGTGAGATTAGATTCTAACCATATATACACTATGTCAGAATTCACTCTAAACCTAATACTTTCTCTGAACATTTAATATGGGTGTCTTGAAATCATTGTAGGGTCACTGAAGGACTTACAGTCCATGGATCACTGATCTATAACAATGTTTCCCATGTGTTGTGAGTGTCTCAGGTGCATTATAGAAATATTAAATATTTTTTAGAATTTTGAAAAGGCTCTTCTTTAAAATTTCATTTATCATCTGCTTTAATATTTATCTTTTTACCATCTGCCAACCAAAAGGAGAAGAAAGTATTGACTAAAATGCAGTTTGTTACAAAATTTGCAGCATTGGCATACCCCCTCACAAAAGTTCTATGCATATGCCAGCATACCAACTCTATAGTATAAAAGTTTTGGCTTACCAGCTTAAAGAATGATACTAGCATTTTATGCATTTATTCAAATAGTCTTTTTACTTTTTTTAAGTACATTTGTATAATTGTGAGTGTTTGTCTTCATAACTTTAACTTGTACATTATCAAAATTTTTAAAAATCAACTATGTTATTTTAAATTTTTTTATTTAAAAAATTATGGTGTGTCACAGGAATTTTATTAAATTCACTAATGTGTCACTAATCCAAAAAAGTTAGTTAACACTGGTCTAGAGCAGGGATGGGCAACTTTTTTCTATGTAAGGGCTGCATAACAGAGAAAACAGAAGAAAAATGCCAGTAAATCACAATTATTTATTCATATATAATTATAAATTAGCATAGGTATACAGTACTTAATTTAACTTCTGGAACTGATGTAAATGTAATATATCAGAAATTATTTGGTTAAATATTAGTCACTGCTAGCTTTAAATTGGTTTTGATGTGTCTGTTAGCCAGTTTCTTGTTTTAATTTTTACTAAATTCATTGAGGAAAAAACTAGTCACATACATAAGTTGTAGAAAATAACATTTGAATTTTTGCTGCATACTTCCTTAACCTGGGAAATTGATATATTTATTCATATCTTATGTGATGAGGGCCGCAAAAAATATTAATGTGGGCCGCAGGTTGCCCATTCCTGATCTAGAGCATTTCAGAGTTAATATGAACATGTCATAATGAGATACTGGAAAAAAAGCCCTAAAACATTGCCTATACTATCACCATTTTTTCTCTTCCTTAATTCAAAATTTATTTTACATTTTAAGTTGTGCCATTTTTGAGAAATTTTTATTTCAGAAATGTTTAAAAATTCCTCTATTTTTTAAGGTCCTAGCATTTTTCCTCTCATGTTATTCTTTTAATAAAACATTCCATAATTTAAACATTTCATATTGTTGAATTAACATCATTAGTATCATCTCAGTTCCACTTGTAATATTTGCCTTCACTCAATAAACTATGCTGAATAAACTACCTATACAAAAATCTATTCAAACAAACAGAGCTAGAGAATTCTAGACCAGCACATATTTACACTGAATCCTAGCTAGACTGCTATCACCCTAACGAGGGATGAGATGAAAAGCTGAAAAGTTGGAGCTTTTTGTTTAGTGAAAATAAAAAGTTTTAGAGTACCATTACAATCTTGAATGAATTGCACCTAAAGATAATATCTGCCAATTAGTCATAAATAGAATTGAGATTTTTGACACACACTGCAATATTAATGACGACACTTATAATGCATAATTGCAAAAATAAAAATTATTAGATGTAACAAAATGATATGAAATGTACTAAACTGATGTTTACTTTAAATATTCTATTTGTACTAAAATAAAATCTTATTTGTGGAGTAAATGTATTATCAAATCAATAAAAATATTCTTCCTTTGAGCCAGATTTTACTAAGCCATGATTAAAACAAAAAGTTCTGCAAGAATGTTTATTAAAACAGCAATTTAGATATAAATGCATTACCTGTGTGATAGAGGTTTTCTTCCAGGATCTGTTGGAGGATTACAAGCACCAACAAACTGAATTCTTTCAAGTCTTACCCAGGCCTGATCACTGGTTCGGTAGAAGCCACCATGTTCCACCATTTGTCTTAAGAATGAAATTACTCTCTGGGTTCCTAAAATTTATTAAGTTTAAAGTAACTTGAATTTTAGTGTTCTCTTAAAAATATTATAAGAATAAGTATTTTACATACCATATTTATCCATATCTGGTAAATTTATCTCATCACAGAAAAGTACTAGCCATTTGCCCAATTGAATAGGAGCTAAAACAATACCATTTGGAGTTCTCCTATATTCACAATAATGATCAAAAGTTTTTAACAGAAGTTCAGGAGTTGTTGCACTGGAGAAATTCAGGCCAACTACCTATTTTAATACAAAATAATCTGAATACTTAAATAACCATAAAACAAAATTTTTACAATAATTTACACAAAATAAAAATAAATCTTAAACATTGTATATAATAGATACCTCCATATCTGGAAGTGATCGTAAAGCACTAAACAGTGTCATTGTTTTGCCAGATCCTGGTGGTCCACAGAGAACAAGGGGTTTATGTTCAGCTAACCAAGTATACAATAAAGATTCATGTCTCACTGTATCCAATGTGGGAACAACAATATCTGGCGCTGCTACTTTGTGTGTTTCAACTTCTATTTGAGGAACTTTATTTTGCCAAGGAACCCATTCACCTCCAAGTGAGACCTAGAAAAGATTTTGTATCAATTTCTAAAATTTTCAAATCACAATACTACCTATTGTAATCACTTTGAAACTTTCTTATAGTGATGATGCTAACTGACTAATAACATTAAGTAAGCTAAATAATAAAACTACAATTTGTAGAAATTCAAATTTTACTAATTCTGATATCAAAATAATTAAAAATGCTTAATAATAACTTAAAAATGTATGATAGTTCTTTAATAGTAATTCATCCAGCATACAATTAACAAATCACAATAATTTAAATTATATTGTAAGTAAATAGCAACTAAAAAATGGACATTTAAAAGCCCTAGTTAAAACTAATAGCATAATTAATAATGTTCAAATACTGTTACTATTAGTCTTAACTAGCCTTATGTTGATGCCGACAGTGCAAAAAAGGCAACTTAAAAATGTTCTTACTTAAAATCAACAGCAACTTTACTCAAACTGACATAAATGAAGTTAGGTATAAATGTATTTTATACCCAACTTCATTTCAGAATTAAATCAGAATTAGCAAGTTCCAAAACTTTTTTGTTTTGGAACTTGCTAATTCTGATAACATTAAATGATTGGTAACAATATAAGCAGATTCTACTATAGTTATTTTAACAAACGTTATTTATTTATATAGCATGTTTTTAAACTTACCTCATAATCAATAATAGGCATAGAAGAACTAGGTGGAAGAGGTATAGTAGTAATGCCTCTAATAAAATCTCCCATATCAGATCTGATTTTTAATTTCCCATCTCCAGCAAATGACCAAAGAAGAGCATATACAAGACAACGAGGAATGTACCGTTCAAGCTGATCTTGCTGTAAATAGAATTTTTGTTTAGTTCTATTTTAAGAACAATTTCTGAAACTTATTAGTTCAATAAAAAATTTTTTGTATTAAAAACAGAATCTGATTATAATCAGCTATAAAAACACATTATTAGACAAACTTCATTAAACATAGTGTTTAACGGTGTAAGGAACCAAGTCCGAACGTTATTTTTATTTACTTTTATTTTGCTTATTACTCTATTTTTGTTTGGGGCTTATGTTTTGTTAGAACGAAGGTTTCCTCACCATTCACCTTAGTAACTTAAAAATAGAAGAAAAACCAACTCACCGACGAAAGAAAAGCGCCGTAGAAAAACTCGTGCACACTTGCGCTTCCCGAGCGGAAAAAAGTAAGTCCGCACCGAGAAAAGGGGGGGAGATCCCACAAGCACGAATTAGGGACTCGCTAAACCTTAAAGAATAAAAAAAAAAAGTCCCAAAAATTGTAAAAAAGAATAATTAAGAAAGAATAAAAAGAGAGTATTGTTGGAAAATAGGCTGCCAGACAAACGAAAAAAGTTTATTGTTAGCGTTAAGTATGTAAATGAGGAGAGTGATCTCATTCAGAATTGTGACGTCACCTCACACTATAAATCCCGAGTCTCAAGTGAAGATGAACGAGGTGAATTCCTGATAGCGACGAGCTTTGTGAGCTTCGTAGCAGTGAACGAGAGAGGTGTCCGATAGGATCAAATAGTTCCAAGGCGATTTTGAAGTTATTCGATTTATGGATCGACGATTATAGAAAGTCTTGAGAGTTTGAGGAAATAGGTTCCTAGTATATTGAGGTGACGATTAGGATCTTTAATTTATAAGAAATATTGTTTATAAGTTAAGTCTTTGATTTTTGTCGAATTCCAAAGGGGAATAGAATTAAGTTAGAAATAGATTGATTTGAGTTTGTCGGGTTGATTCTTGTTGAATTTCATTGAATAAATTATTGTTTGATTTTTTACTAAATACTGTATATTGTTTATTACTAGAAGTTTAATTAAATATTTGATTTTGTTATTGACAAACTTTTGTCATTATTTAATTCGGTGCACGCTTAAAGTCCAGGCCTGGCACACTAATGCGAATCTGCGTAAAGTACCCGTTATGGAACGGCTATTTCCGGCACACAGTAGTGTCGATAATCATTGGAAAAGTCGGAAAAATAATATAGTACTTTACAACAGATAAAATGCTTTTTCATGTTCAATTTTCAACAATACAATTTCTAATTTGATCTAACCTTTTTAATTACATAAATTTAATCTAATATCTGTCCTGATTCCTTTTAGGTGCATGGCAATGCATTTGTAACTAATAAAAATTCGTATGAAGGTTTTTATTGATGGTAACATCCTAACAAAAGAAAAGGAACAGTGGAGGTCGTAAGAAGCAAGCAATCACTAATTCTATTATCCTCAATCTTTTCTTACATTAACTATCAAAAATCTTTCCTACATACTCTTTAGCTAGCTTTATGTAATAATTCAGATATGCAAAATTCATTTAAAATTCAAAATGTAAAAAGATATTGATAATAATATCATTGAGAGCTATGTTACAGTTCCATGTTATACTATATAATAAGAAAATTTACATTCACTAATAATGGATTCCCTTAATAATTTCAGAAATCTTTGGTTGTCTAGAACATAATCCATCATCACCTGAACATAACTATTTCTTTCAAATCAGAGACAACAAAACCATTTTAAATACAGGTATCCCTTAATTAATGTGGTTAATTAATCCCTCAATGCTACAAATTATATCAAAATCATATTAATCAAATACAGAATATATATTAAATAAAAACAGCTGGTAAAGCCATATTAATTAAAACTTCTGCCACAATTAATTTTGTACATTTAATCAAATCCTGTATTAAGTAAAGCTGCATTAAGCAAGAGATATATTTATATTTATCAATGATATAAAGGTATCTTTTATATATGAATGATCTCAAACAATAGCTATCATCATCAGAACAACAAAACTATATCAAAAGATATTAATATACAGAAGTATATTTTAATTTTATTTTTGTCATGCTATTTTGTATTAATATCATGACAAAAAAGAAAGGTGAGAATACGCTACTTCTACTCAAATGACAGTATATTCTATGCTAAAAAGAAAAAAAAAAGCATGAAATTAATAAACATAACGAAAGAAGGAAATTAAGTATAAATATCTAGAAACTACAGAAACAGAAATTAAATAAAAAAACTAATAAAAAAAAGTCAGAGACAAACTGTAACTCATAACCAACAATGTCTATAATGCCACTACATTCATCAATACTTACACAAACCTAGTTTTAATCAACTGCTTTGATATCAAATAGACTAACACAATTTCTGTTAAACCTAGAGAAAAATGAGAAGACTTCTAGTAAGATAGGACTGAACATAGACAGTAATAATTGAAAGAGTCCTTTTTGGGATTGAGATATTCTTCTAAGTCTTTTCACAGCTAACTCAACTACAAATAAATGTAGAAATTCTTTTATGTGTAATATAACATTTGTAATTACAAATACAATGGTAAAACTGACATCCAATTGGCTTTACTCCAACTAAGCAAAATTAATAATACTGATAATGTCATCAATAAAAGAAAAAAATAGTATACAAAACTCTCTATGTGGCCAATAATCACGATTTCAACTATTCTTTTGTTGACAAAGTGGTATAAAACATATAGTTTAGCTAGAGAACTGTTTTTCTAAAAAGAAAAACCTTTTCAACTGCCAACAAAGAATCAGATTGTTAGACCAAGAACCATAGTAAATACAAATATATATACCCTATCCTATATCTGTATACAGACCCTATATCTGTATATTTATACATAGATCTACAGTTGATAATGACTTTTACAAAAAATGCCAGCAAGTACTTAAAACAATTTAACACACTATCTCAGTATGTTCCCATCTCCTGAAAAATCTTCATTGGCACAATCAACTTACAAGCATAACCTTGCTTGTAAACAGACTGATTCATGATCTAACACCATATTACAAATATAACACCAGTCCTGTCTTAGAGAATAAAGAGTAAAAGTTACAATATGATAGAGCCATCTCTATGAATAGGACAGTGCACAGAAATAAACTAGACAACCTTAACACATAAGTAACAGATCATCTATCTTGTTAAAATTATGGTACTTATAACAAATATGACATATGAAACAAGTTAGTCCTTTGCTTACTAGAAGACAAACTATAGAAGTTTTTTTTTTCAAATTTTTTAAACATTTTTTAAAATTATTTTTATACATTTAAAAATTTTAAAAATTCTGTTTTTTTTGTTCAATGTAAAACATTAAATATAAAAAATAATTCTATTCTATTTATTGAATTCTTTCAGCTAAAGATAACCAAAAAATGGTTAAAAACATTTCTGATTGTTTTGTTTTATTTGTCTTTCACTCAATTGCATTTTATGGCAATCAGTCTTTTTTTCTGTATTTTAAAAGCAAATTTTGCACTTTGATTACAGAATAAAGAGATGGTGATAAATTCAGCATTTGAATAAACAAAATTTGTTTCAGTTAAATAGAGGACAAAAACGAAAATAAGATTCCTATTTGTGTACAGGCCTCTTTAAACATTGGAATAATTATTGCAGTGGTTGAGTAAGCTAAAACCACAGATTCTTGCCATAAAAGTTTGTATATTCCAGTTTGCCATTTTTTATGGTTTTTTTAAAAATTTATATTTTATAATTAGTAATGATTAAAATATTAAAAACAATTGAAATAATGTTTACAATATAAGAAGATATACACAATTAACATTTAATATGTGAAAAATATTTTTACAAAAATTTTAATTTTTAGTATTTTTCTATATTGGTTGATGACAAAACAGAACTTTTTATGCATAAAAGAAGAAAATTATCTCACAGCATTGAATTAAATGAAAATAAAAATTTGCAGCCAATTTGAAATTTTTTTTTCATAAAAGACAACTGAATTCAAATCATGAATTCTGTAATTTTTTCCCTTAATCTTAAATATCAGTAAGTTAACTCCTTATGAATGCGATCAAGATAATAAAATTATATTAGATTCACTTTACATCTATCTAAAATTTCTATGATTTTATTATAAGAATATTTAACTTATTTACCTGCATTGGGAAATCAATATGATTATGGTTATAATTGAGAACATTACGGCATGACTGGTTAAGCATGGAGAATAAGGAGCCTAAGGCTCTTAATCTTGTGAAGTCCATCACATGATCTTGTTTTGCAGCAAAGTCTAATGCTCTTACTACCAAACCATCAGATGTAAAGTAAGGAGCCAAGATTGAGGCAACATCTCTTTGCACCTATCAAAACAATTTAAAAAATAGCTTAGCTTTATAAATTTTTAAATGGCAATAATAATGAAATTATTCACTTTATAAAAAATTAAGAATTACCTTAACCATTAAATGAAAATAATATTTTCAACTTAAAATATGATATAAATTAAAATATAATATATATATATATAAGAATGTAGATCTATTAAAGAAAATCAAAAGAACATATTTGAGATTATACTGTATTAACTACAGTAGTAATTTTGAATCTTTTCCTTTACAGAAATTATTCAAAACTATTAGACAAACATTTCAAATAAAATGAATCCTATGATGTAGTTTCATTTTTTGAATTTGCATAAAATATTTATTTAGTGTTCCTATAAGTATATTTTAGCTATAATTCTGCAGTCCATTTAAAAATAATCTCAAGAAAGTTTAAGCGGTCTTAAGATTATTGCATGCCTAAACAGTATTATCACACCACTACATACTGTCAATATGATTACAAAATAACTCAGAAATCAAATGACAGATTATGTAATCTTAATCTATAATCTTACATAGATTATATCAAGTAATGTAGATGATAAACATTTACTGATCAAACAATTCTACTTCAATATCATTTTATTAATTAATAAACATCTTAGAAAGGAAAAAAAAACCAGCTTATTTTTTCACCAATTTAAAACATTATAAATTTTGAGATTAACATAATCTTCATAGTTTACAAAAATAAAAAATAATGATATTGAAAATGGGGCAATCCCAAAAGCTTTCTCCCTTTGAATTAGAAATCAAATCTGTTTAAATCTCTATTATTTTTCCAAAAGAGCTGACTCTATTTTGAATTATGTAATACTAATAAATCATGTACCATCTGATCACAAATATTGTGACTTCTAAAATTATGCATATTTAAAAAAAAAGTCATGTTTACACATGGTAATCATATTTAAGGGAAAATGTGATAGAATTGCTCATTATTTCCACCTATTCATTTGTTGAAGATAGTCAGCAAATCAATAGGAATAGTTATTAGAAGTGAATATATTTTTATTTTTGCGCATACTTTTTTGCTTATTTTCCAATAGGTTAGAGTGTAAGAATTGCATTTATAGCCTCTTATCACATTATTTTGCTAATTATTTTCATTATGTATGAATTTAAATTGCTCAAGATATTCTGAAACATAACTATTGTATAATACAAAAGTTGCATGCATGTGACTTTTCAAAAAATTTTTTTATGTCTAATTTTTCATTAAGAAATAATGTTTCAGCTACCTCATAGAATCAATCTTATTAATTGCTATGGAGATAAGAATTTTGAAGACCGAAAAACTATTGTGTGACAACACTTAATAAATCAATAATGTAATAAATAAAGTATTAGTACAAATGAACATTGTATCAGAAAAATATATTTAACAATAGGATTTAGTATAATTATATAAATAATTATATTTATATTCTAAGATAAATGTTTTAATTTAATTTATTATATTATTTACATGTAAACAGATTATTATCTTAACTTATTTTATAGTAAAGTTGATATTCAGTTAATTAGAAGTATTAGTAACATTTACCTGCAAAGTAGGAGACAAGATGTCTTCTTTCAAGGATTCTCCTTCCTTTTTCTTTTTATAAGTTAGTTCTTCTTCTGCTTCTTCTAATGGAATGCTACGTAATCTGGACATAAAATTTTCAAAAATCATTTCAGTTGATAAGACATCTTCACTGAACCAAATCATACCACAACGAGACACAGTAGCAAGAGTAGCAAATTTCAAGTCTTGTACTTCAAACATTATTCTAACCTGTAAAAATTTATACAAAAATTTAAAAATTTATTTATTTTAATCAAAATAATTTGTAGATTTAATAATATGTATGTTAATTACAAATAACTTTTTTGAAATAAATTATCAATTTTATCGTGAATGAAGAAAAATTTTATCATCATCAAGTTAACAATAATCATTATTTACATTTGGAGGCAAACTCAGACGTTCACCATTTGGTAGTGTAAGTAACTTATTGTCATCCAAAACACTGTTCAAATTTTCAACCCATTCTGGATCAACATCACCATCAAATATAATCCACTGTCGCTTATTAATTTCACCACGAACATTGTCAATGATTCTAAAAAATGTTAAAATAAAAAAAAATTTGAATAATTTTATTAGGTACAATTTAATAATTTATTTATAATTTAACTACAATAAAAAAAATATCATATTAATTTTTATGTTTATATAGAAAATAAAATTTTAAAATTTAGTAAATGAAAGATTACAATAATTACATATTAAAAAAAGTCCATTTAATTATAAAGTTAGTCTTGAAACCTTAAAAAGTTTTTAATATAGATATAATAATAAAACTTACTTTCTTAATACATGTGTAAAAAGACCATCTGTCCATTCACGAGTATTTGGATCAAGAGTGCCATATAAAGCTTCTTTAGAAATTGCCTATTTAGAAAAAAAAGGCATTTGTTAATGTTAACCATAATCAGCAGTTAAGAATTTACAATAAAATTACTGACCTTTGGATCAATAACATGAGCAACACCTTCTACTCCTTCGTATCTTTCCAATGCTTTTAGCAAAACTCGCCATGCAGTTGACTTCCCACTTCCACTTGGTCCCACCATCATTAAGCCATGATTTAATTGTGATATTTGATAAAGTTGTAATACCTAAATATTATAAGTTAAAAGTAATGAATAACTGAACAATATTACAATCAATGAAATTTATTATCTTTTTTTATACATTTATTATCTGCCTATTTCCTAAATTCTAGCAAATAAGTAACTTAGTTTAAAAAAAAATATTCTTATTTATTATTTTATACCTAAAAAAATTAAACTTAATTTTAAAAAATATTAAGTGAAAATACTTCAGCCATCATCACCTCAATCTTTATGCATTTACATTTTATGGTATGTACTGTACATATTCAGATAAACTGTTTCATGAAGAATATTAGCTTCATTCAGCAATCATTCAGGAAATAACAGTATAAATACAACTACTTTTTTAAAATTAGAATGATTTAGTATCTGACATTCAGAGCACTAATTTTTTGTCATAATTTGAGGTAAATATTTAAAAATACTTAGTTTGAAGTTTATTTTAAATATTGTAGGTATTGTTACAAATTTCTTAGTGTAGTTCTGCAAGTTATCATCATTTTGTGAGGACATTTATATAACAATACAGATTATACTGTATAGAAATTTCAAATTTAACTAAAAAAATTTATTGTAAATTATTATTTACAATAATAATTTGTACAATAATAATAATAATAACACTTTCTTCAAATATAATTTATTGAATTTCTATTTGAAAGAAATATATTAATTTAAACTAATTTTTATTAATTATCTATTATTATATATATTGTGCAAGTATTATTCATCTGAAAATAAATTGTTTTACATAAAATTTATTAAATTTTTTAAAATCTATAACAATATGTTACAAATAAAACTATATTTATTATTAATCTAATAATGTAATAAAAATTCAATAATATCTTGTGGAGTTATTTTAGTGTATAATATATAAATTTAAATCAAACAATACATTATTAAGTATTAATAAGTATTTATTAATAAAATCCAATTACAGTGAACTTCATTATTTCGATATCAGATAATTCAAAATAAACGCACAATGAAATTCAAAGTTATTATCTGGTCCAACAACCCATAAAAATATTGTTTAATTTGAAATCTTGCATCATATTATGTGTTTATAAGAGTTTTCGTGCCCAAGTGACTGTTTCAGTTTCAGTATCACTAATTATACATTGATTTATTCAAGTTCATTTGAACATTGTACACATTGCCAATGAAGAGAGAATTTTTTTATTTTTGTGGATGAAATCTGTTTGACATTAATTATTTTCGATATTTTTTGCAATAATCTATTATTTCAATAATTCCAAAGTCCAGTAAATAACTTGATTAATGTACTTTCTCACCACACCGGATTGTATATACTTCAAATAAACAACTATCTACAATTAACCAGTAACCGGCACGAAATTCTTTAAAATCGGCGAACGTTTCCGATTCCCCTCCTGGGCTCTTCTCCAGGCTTACTTTTTATACCTTTCATTATAACTGGATTCTTTAATTAGAATGCTTTTTTTAAAAAGTATGGAACGTGTCATTTTTTGACAAAATTTCCAAAAGTGGAAGGAATCCACATGTTATTTCAAATACAATTTTCTACCAATGGGGATTTGTTGTGTGCAATATCTCATAAAATTTATCTTATAAAATATATTATGATTTATTGTCAATTAAAAATTGCCATGCAGCAGAGAGATTTATTTCTTCTTTGAAATTAATGCATGTGGATTTGCAATCGGCTTTACAGTTTATTAAGGAACGGGAAGGACAATTCTGACCCAAACAGGCTTCCAGGGATATACAGTATTCCATTAAAAGATAACAGATGGGATAGGCCTTTAGTGTATATCGGATCCACCAAATGTTCATTGGACACAAGATTAAAAGATCATAAATCAGACATCGAACATAATAAATGTAAGACAGCCCTATCAACGTACGCAACAAACCCGGGCATCACACCTATCTTCGATGAAGCGCATGTTATTCGCACCACCCAACACCAGGGGCAACTAACGACTTTGGAGGCAGCGGAAATCTTTAACTCCTTTTGAGCCGCGCTCGAATCTGACTCGAGCAACAAATACGTGACGTAAGATCCACGCTCGAGTGTCACTCGAGCAACACGTCATCAATACTTTCTAAAATGTCCACGCTAGAGTCTGACTTGAGCGAAGCATTTTTAGATTCTATTGGATGTTGTTGATGACGGCATAAAATTTTATTTATTTATATCCAATAGTAGTTTATGTTTTTGAACATTTTTTCGGTCCCCACTAATAGCAATCGTACATATGATCGAAAAATAATTGATATATTTGAGTATTTACGGTAACTACTACATACGTCACTAGAAACCCATCTTCCCCTGAGGCGTGTTTGGAAACTACCCGCGATCGTCAACAGTCAGCTGATCTCAAGGTCAGGTATTTATAAACACAGCACAGCTGTGCGTGTCACGTGATCCGTTGCGATTTTTTTTCTGTATGATAAGCCTAATGAATGTAAATAATTCGTGATGAAAAAACAAAGTTTTATATAAAATGTTTTAAAATATATATTTTATAAAATAGTGCATTTTTTTACATTTTAATTTTTTGTAGCAGTTTTTCCAGCAAAGCTCAAGACATAATCGTGACGTTAGCATATAAAAAAACTAAGCACAGGATAAACTATTATAAAATAAATGCTTTATTGTTAACATATTTATTTGTATTTTTTTTTACAATTATAAATATAAAATTTTTATACATGAATAAGTGGAAAAAATAAATTGAAAATAATGCAAATAATATATAATTCAATACGTTTATACATGAATAAGTGGAAAAATAAATTGATAATGCAAATATATAATGCAATACGTTTATACAAGAATAAGTG